TTCGAAATGTAGAACTATCAGTTGTTATGTTTCTTACAGCTTTGGTGACGAAGGAGAGCCCTTCGACCCAAAAAACTATGAATCTAGGCATATCTCTTGATACCATTAAATAGGATGATAAAGATAATTTATAGTTGGCAAACCCTCACAAGCCAAAATTTCATTAGCTTCCAGCCATACTTAGAAATCGGAAGCTATTTCCATGACAAAAATTGATGAAGAAACTAAAATCACAACAATCCTATTTGGCCATATATCCATAAAACTCACCGAGTTAAACGTGGTCTTGAGAATTAAATCCAGGTTTAGTGGAGGTCTGTGAAGATTTGTTAAAGTATGCGGTCTTAAGGTTATTTAAATTTGCTGATGGCATTAAAGTTTTGAATGTTATTGGCTGTGAAGAGGATGCTAATGCCTTACAAAAGGATTTGGATTATTTGTTGAGTTAGGCAAATAAATGGCAGATGACTTTGAATTATAATAAATGTAAGGTAATACATGTGGGATATCATAATTTGAAATACGAGTATCATTTTGATGGGAATAACTTTAACAGTGTTATGAAAGAAAAGAGCCTAGACGTTCTGGTTGATCAATCTCTTAAGCCAGCCAAAAAATATGCTGTTACTAGTGGCAGGGCAAATGGGATTTTAGGTTCTATCTAAAATATATTGAATATAAATTCTAAAGAGGTTATAACGTCATTATATAAATCATTGGCTAAGCCACATTTGGAGTATTATATTGAGTCTTGGGCTTATTACCTCAGAAAGGACATTGAATTGTTGGAAAGGGTTTAGAGGAGAGTTACTAGGATGATACTGTAGATGGAAATGTTATCATATGAGGATAGATTAAGATTTCTGAACTTATTTTCTCTTGAAAAAGAAAACTAGAGAAGTTCTGATTAAGATTGTTAATGGAACTGATAGTGTTGATGCATAATCGTTTTTCATATTTAATGGTAAGACTAATGGACACAAATATAAATTTTGGCAGAATATGCGACATCTTCAGCTAACACAGCTTTATTTTTCTAAAAGGGTGGTTGGTCTTTGGATGTGGTGGATGCAGCTGGATAAATATTTGAATGATAAGGCCTGGCTTTGAGTTTTTTAGAGTTTAGCTTAATTTTGGGGATAGTATCAGATGGACCAAAAGGTTCCCTGTTGTCCTTCAATATTATATTGAAGCCCTGGTCTCACATGTCAATTTTCTGTGATTTGACAAAGCTTCAAATAGTTTTTCACAGGTTGTTGAATGAGACCAGCGAAACAACTCCAAAAAAAGAAAATATTCAACTTTAAAAGTCACCTTCAAGTCACACAAAATTGAGCTCAGTCCTATTCTGAATGAATTCTTCGTTTCAACCAATTAATGGATGTCATTCTGCTGCTGTGTAGGCTTGCATCAAGAAGTCAGGTTTTTTTTTACCTCAATTGAAAATGGTGAGAATGAGCAAGATAAAATGATTCACAGAGCTGATGTAACATTGAAAGCTATTGACAGAAGGAGTGCCTGTCAAAGAACGATGATCTGGCTTACAGACATAAGAATACGAAGAAGATTGCCCAGGAGAAATTGGCTGCAGACTTCAACACAACGAGCAAATTATTTATATGTAAGGCCAACCAGGCCTATTTTCAAACCTAGTTCTTAGTCATTGCTTTCTAGCTGAAGTTTGGAAATAAAAGTATGAGGATTATCTTTAGTTTCTAAGCCTGTACTGTGCTCTCTTGGTGATCCATGACCTCACCAAACATGACTTCTACATCTGCTAGTGATTTATAGACAAAATAATTTGAGTTTTTGTTGTTTACAAATATTCTTCACCACTCTTCCCAACATTGTTTAATATTTTAATTTAAGAGTCTCCAAACTATTACTTAACGTATAAATATATATTAATTACAATATGATCCACACCCTTCCTTTAAAATGGTATACAAACAGAAACAAATATTCAAGAAGGTAAGATTTTGTTTAAAGTACCCCCCCCCCCCAAACGAAGACACCAGTAGTAAATATATAACCAAAACTTAACATTTTTAAAACATAAGCCTTTATTTCCTTCATATTAATATCGTACGTGGGCAAGGTCCAAAGACTTTCAAGGATAACATGATTTTTACATAAAATAAGAAATATATATCCATTTGAAATACACAACTACTACTTTTTGTCAAACCTGTACATAAGTGTAAGATTTTCTTACAGTAATTACTTCAGAATCAGAGCCACAGTGGCAAACAAATAATTCTAAAACATAAGACAAAATGTGAATAATAGTTATTGTATAAGTGAAATGGGGTTGGCATAATACTATTTATTTAAATGACATATCATTGGACTGCAGACTGCATTCATTTTCCTGAAATGGATATTTTGGTTAAACCATATTAGTGTCCTACTTGAAGCTTTATCTGGAAAAACCAACTAACATGAAATACCTTTTATCTACTTTTTAGTATACTATAGAGAAAGTGCATTCCAATCTTGTCCAAGTGTCATGATAAAATAGTTAGTGTGTAGTCAACTGATAATCTGAATAAAATAGCTTTAAAACTAACTGTACTGAGGCCACTTGGTACTGGAATCCCACAACATTAATAATGATTCAATTTTTTACTGTTCTAATTACATAGATGTATATGCAAGTGCTACTTTCTGTAATGAGCAGAATTCATACAAACACAATTGAACCAAAACTAACAGATAATAATAAGTCAAATTAATATTGAAGCCGAAGTATGGACTTTCACTCACACTAGGGAATTCCAACCACCTATGAAAAATGTTATGAAGATTACATTTTAACAGAGTGAGAAGATGGTATTATATCTTATCTATGTAAAATATGTCTAATACAAAATACACAAGGATAGCAGGGAATCGTGGGATGAAACAAATTTCTATTGCTAATTGTTTTCAAATATTCATGCAAAACTCCTCAAAGACTATCTATACTAGTTGTCTCTAATTTTGAACAGATAGACTAGAGGGAAGCCAGGTAGCCAATGATACCGAACTTGTCTCTGAATTTTACAGCCACCTTATACAAGGCCCTCGAGTGCAAAACTATTATTTTGGGTGGATACAAACATATACTGCTGATAAAACTGATTACAAAAAAACAGATTATATGGTAATCATGTTGTGTTATTTAACACTAACTTATATCGTAAGCAATCTTTGGAAAAGTAATCAACACATTTTGAAGGTTTGTGCATATTGTTCGTTTATTGGTGGTTTATAAGAATTTGAATATGTTATAAATGACTGAAAATTTCTGATCAAAATAAGTTTATATGGACCGAAAATTATTTAAGATTAATTCATAAACTAATGAAGATGGTCCTGAATACCAAACATACCAGAAACAATTAAATGTTATACCTGAATAAACCACAAAACTTAAATTTATAATGAAACTAATGCACTGAATCATCAATTAGGTATCCTTGCTGTTGATAAAAACAAATTTAGCCAATAATTTCTCGTGTCACATCTCGTTCAGCCATCTTACAATATTTAAATTAGTCCTAAGTCTATATACTAAACTAAAAAACCATACAAAAGTGTATGTATAGAGAAATCAGATTAAATAACAGTTGGGGAAAATTTAATTAACCTTGAACTTATGAGTTAACCTTAAAAGGTGATGATAAATTATATATCATTAGCTTAAGCAGTATTTTTTGTTTTTGTATTATACAGACTTATGTTTGAAACCATCACAAAAACTGAAAGTGATTAAA